CACACTGTTGTCTGCATACTCTAGATCAGACAGCCTGTCACCTGGGAGTAAATCAATTCCGCTATCCTAGCACGAGGATAAGCTGTTTCACTAAATGAATCTTTGACAAAATTAAATAGAAAGGGATAGAGAGAGCAACCGTGACGAACACCACTTTCCGTAGTGAACTCGGGTAAAAAAGTGACGTAACCCTGGACTCGGCNGGCTTCCTCTATAAATATAAGGGGATTATGATAATCAAATTAACTTCTCGGGCGCACCCTCCAGGGAAAGGTAGCACCAGAGGTTAGAGCGGTCGACTGAATCGAATGCCGCTTTCAGATCCAGGAACACAGAGATGGTGGGTCTACGAAAATAATGTCGGTGTCTCAGAATTTGGCAGAGAGTGAAGATGTGGTCGATGCAACCTTGACCAGGTCTCAATCCAGCCTGATTCTTACGCGTGCACTCTTCACTTGTGGCAGACAACCGACGGAGTATATATGATGCCAGCGAGAAGTTTAAAGACAAAGGTGATTAAACTAATTCCTCTGTGGTTCTCCCAAGAGGCCCTGTCGACTTGCTTGTAAATCGTTGTGATCACTGATTCACACCATTCAGCTGGAAACTATTGCATTTCCCAGGATTTTTGTCAACTCCAGGACTAAAGCTCAACCCCCATCCTTAGACGCCGATGGGAAATGATCATCTAGGGACAGAAGCCTTGTGCATTTTGAGATAAACTAAATCCCGAGAAACTTTCATTTCGGATGGAGGACTAGCATCAACTGGGAGTATTTGCTCAGTGGAGGTTGGGAATGACAGATCAGATGTCGATGGGGCCTAGTTGAAATGAGCATTGAGTTGTTCAGCCCATCGATCAAGACGGCGTTGCTGATTGTGAATCAGTGTGCCATAGGATTCCTTAATTACCTCACTTACTTTACTCAAGTCAAGTCTATAGTAAGTTTTGTACATCAGTGCAGAATGGAGTTCTGGCTTTGCACATTGTAACGACTGCAAATATTCTGAATAGAACGCAAGTTGAATAGTAGAAAATGGTTGAAGATATCCATACTTCAAAATATACACGGTTCATTCAATCTGATTGGCTAATCGCTACTCCATGTGAAAAATCCGCGGGGGAAGAAAACTTGCTGTATGCATGAAAAACTGTGCAGGCTTGAAAACAGTCACCTGTGAGCATTTTCACATTATTTCTCAACTACTTCACAGTCATTAAAATATTTTATCCACTCTTAAACGATCCCGTTTTTCAAAAAACGCTCTTTTGCATTTTGCGCAATTATAGCGGTCTGCTTTTCACTTCGTCAAGACTCATACGGTTGATTCCTACCCACACATACATTTCCCGCAAACTCATAACTGATGTGTGTTCAGCTAGACCAAATGTGTTCTGTGATTGTCCTTTAGACCCATCTCACAAGGCCTGACAACTGTGATTTCTTTTGACTCGGGGACAAAATGGAAACATCAAGCGGTCGAATGTCCTCACTTCAAACCCGATCGTTTCAGGAGGAATGAGGGGGTGAGTGAACAGACTTGTGAGTAGTTGTGATCACCTATTGCCATTTGACAACAGTTTTAGCAGATAAAAATACAAACAAGCTGCAGCTGAAAATTCCACTCAGCCCTGTATGTTTCCGCCACAGTTAATGGCCGCATAAGCCAGATAGGAATACTCACTGTATCCTCTCATTTACGTGAGTTTGTATTTCGCCAGACTTTTACGTGGACAAAAATCCCGGTTCTCAGGCGAAAAGTTACACCTTTTATCATCAAGAGAAAAATAATACAACTTGATAAAACATTTGACCTTCAAAATTTGCTGAGAAATTCAGCATAAACCCGATTCCAGTTTATACGGAGTCTAACGAGATATCAAACAATCGAATTGGTGTAAATATCAATGTACGAGGATAAGAAATGATGAGTAGAATTCGTTCAGGTATGACAGCGACGTGTGAATACATAGTCATGGAATGGGAAAGGTTTTTCTGTGCAAATGTTTCGCATAGGAAAAGGTATGGTATGGATCCTCACGATAGTCAAAAGACCGCGGCGAGAAGGTTGAAACCAAAAAATGACAATAAGGAAACGCACTGGCACATTCAACTCTTTTGGTGTTTGAATTTAAAAAATAGGGTTCTCAAAGATTTTTTCTACAAATGTATATGCGCAAACGAGTAAGAAATAAATGCACAAAAAACAGACTAAACCAGCCTGTTTGTCGCGTTAGATCCAGTTCCTCGACATATTGTAGCGAGAAGGTGAGCTGGATGGGGAAAAAGTCTATTGATCCAATTTAAAAGCAAACAGTGCATGCGTTCGAATATACACAGTCAATTCTCAACCGCGCGGTGGGATGATTCATGCCTCTTTCTGTGGGTTATTCCTTGTTGGTTTTGGTCCGCATTTGGCACGCACGTTGCCTCTTCTTCCGCGTGCCATTCCGACCGGTTTGACCCGATCGAAACTGAGGCTATGGGTCCATGTGAAAAAATTGAGAGTTTCCATAGGCAACAGCATTTATAATGAAGTAATTTTTGTTTCCAAATAATACTAAAAAAGCCTCGGTGATTCGTTATAGCATTGATTTTCCTAATTCGTGTNGTAAATACAGCAGATGGAATGTTTGAGAATGTAGCTGATACGTCTACTTCGTCAGTTCTGGTTGACCTGGATCATGATGGGTTAAGAGAAAACTTAAGGGAATAAAATAATTTTTATTTACAATAAATGAACATTGATAATCATTAGTGTAAGTTCCGTGGATCTTCTTTAACGTAAATCTTATCTCGCTCTGATTACTCGCTTGATTGTTCACAATCCCAGTTGAGTTGAGCAAAACGTAAACACATTATCGTACGGGATACGTATAT